TTCTCTGTTGACACCCATCCCTTGGCGCTCATATGACCTTATGCAGTTGCGAGCGCCGTAAAACCCTCTACTATAAAAAAAATAAAAAAATGTTTCCCTTTCCTTAGTCTAAACTGGTGCTCTCTGTGCCTTCTTTTGGCTTTCAGTCTTACAATTACTGATTTTGGTGAAATGTTATAATTTAAGTGTTGTCTCTCCTTTAGTCACCTTTAGATAATAACATGATATTTGATCTTTTTCTCTTCTTTTTTTAAGCTCGCAGAATGCTCCAAAGGGTCCATCACTCCTTGATATTCAACAACAAGAGCAGGAAATCTCTCGCAAATCCAACAAGGAGAAGAATCAGTCATCATATCAAGCAAAGGTAAAGAAACATTTTCTTTGGCATCATTAACAGTCAAGGGATAGATTCGTCTAGTTATTCGGAGCTTTGCTTTCACTTTTCACTTTAGACTGCATTCAGTGATATACTTCTGTGTAAATATTGACCATAACAATTACAAGTTTGCTCAGTAGCCTTGTATTTTGGATTGTTTGCAAAGGACACTTCACGTCTTGACTTGTTCTTAACGTGTTTCTTTTCATTTTTATATGTTGATTTTTGTTTGTTCCTCAACTCAAATGTCTTCAACATGTTTTAATCCTCTTTCTGTCCCGCTCAGCTGTCCCTGAACAGTGCCTCAACCTGGTCCAGCGCCGCGGCCACACAGAGCATGTGGTCCGCCCAGGCGTGGGACTCGGCTGTGGGTGGTGGTACAGCGTCCAGCATCTGGGAGCAGCCCGCCCCCACTGGCCGCGGTGGCGGCAACACTGGCAGCAGCAACAAGAAATCTGTGATCAAGGAAAGGTATGTGGGTAGTTAGTGGGTGTTTTGGTGTGGTTTGCTCTTTCTTTCCTATCATATCTATTATCTTAATCTGTCCTCCTTCTCTTTGTTTGTTACTCTCTACAGGGTCCCTGCGGCCTCCTTGAATTCAAGGAGTTCTTGAAAACTCCTTGAATTGGCGTTCAAGTAAAATCACCAACGCAATGGGGCAGCCTGAAGGTCTACTGACCACAGTGAAGAGACGAAAATTAAAATGGTATGGGCATGTCACAAGATCCACAGGACTTGCCAAAACAATCCTGCTAGGAACTGTACAAGAAAAGAGAAAGAGAGGAAGGCAGAGAAGGAGATGGGAGGACAACATTACAGAGTGGACAGGGAAGACGATGGGTGACTATCTGAGGAAAGCAGAAGACAAAAATAGATGGCGAGAGCTGGTTTTCTGATGCAGTGGTGCCCCCACGGTTGCCCAAACCACGGGATAGAAGAAGCAGAAAAATCCCCTAGAAAACTCTTTGAATTTGAGGAACCTCCTTGAAAACTCCTTGAATTTTGCCAGATGGGACATGAACAAAGTTTTTGTCGGAAAAACGAAACCTGCGATTCCTTTCGGACAAGTGTAGTGTAGGCCCATCGGAAATAAGCTTTCGGCATGAATTTCTTGACCAAATCTTGAATTTTTAAAATTCCTCCTTGAAACCTTCTTGAAATTGTTGGGAAATTCATGGCAGGAACCCTGTATTCAGCTCTAGTATGACCTAATTGTGTTGCAAGTGCTGTAAAACCTATACTTAAACTAAAACTAATGGGAAGGTAAATGCTGGACCTTTTATTGCAGCTTGTTTTTGGTGAACACTGAACAAATCTGTAATGTTTTGATGTCCTTCTGACACCAACTGTGCTGTTTGAATGGAAGTTTACAACCAAGCTAACACAATTTGTCACAAATTAGGAAAAGAATTTTTAATGAAATATAATTTGGGGAGGCAAAAGATGAGTTGACCCAGAATCACATATAAAAGGTTTTTCTTTCAAATGGTGCAACACTTGTGACCAGTAGCCATTTCTAGTCGCTGTGACATAGTTTGTTACAAACTTGTCAGGTACGGAACAAAGCTTTAGCACTGTTAGTTTACAGTACTTTTGCTTGTTTTGGTGGAAGGCTGGCCCAACTGGTGGGTGCCTGTGGTAGGTCCTTTTTCTGTCCCCTCCCTCTGATGCTCCATTATGTCTAAACTCTTTCTCGGAACTAAGACCTTTAGTTGTCAATTAGTTTCTCTTTACTCAAATGTGATTCTTTGTATTTTTTTCTAGTGGAGAGTTCCCTGCTTTGCGGACCCCAGCCCAGTCAGGTGGGAACAAAAGTTCTGGCAAGGCCAACAAGAGCAAGAATTCTGGTTCCAAGCACAAGAAAGAGGAGGTCAGAATCTTGTGTGACTAAAGCTGCCTAGTTGTGCCTTAAAAACTCCACAGTCAGCTTGTCCTCTTGATTTGTCTGTTTTTAACTAAGATTGGGATTTCTTTCCTTTCTTTTTCATCTTTTATGTTCTGAGACCTGCATGCATAATTGTAAGTCTGCTGTTCCACTATTCATGTCAGATATCTTTGTTGTGTTGTTAGATTGGCTGCCTTAACACTTGCAACTCGAAAATAACTGAAAAAAATTACTTATGTTTTGTGATGGTAGTTGGAGGGTGACACTGATAAATTGCGTTTTGCGTCTGTCTGTTTGCTTTCATTTATTTCCTCTGCTAATTGACTGTAATGTCATTGATTTGCTTCTCTTGAGCTTAAAAAAGAAAAACAAAGAAGTTTTTGCTGGAGCCTTGTCATTTTTAACTGCTATTTCAAGTATTAAGGTCTTTGATTGGGGTAATCTGTTATCTATTTGTGGTGGCCGAATTTTGCTATTCAAAAGGCTTTTTAATAGCTGCATCGATCGACATGCGGTTTTCGCCAAAAGATCCTTTAAAATATTCTCCAGATCATGACGCCCTTCGTTTTTTCAGTTTTGAGACAGTTTTGCTACAAAAAGCGAAATTTTTTTATTTCGCCGATCGCTTTTGTGGGCCAATGCTTCTGTCTCTGTACGTTTAGAAAGTCCACCAGGTTTGTTTATTTTAAGTCGTACATCCGTTCGATACTATCGCGCATTGTCATGCAATACTGAGCACTATTTTGAGTGTGCGACCCGTATAGATCTAGCCTCATGTTTTCTTTTTTTACTTGGAGCTAAATTAGACTGTGATCCTTTCGTTTGAACTGTGTTCCTTCTCCCCCCCATCTCTAAATTATGATTATTATTGTGTGGCTGTGCTCCTCTTTTACTCAGCCTTACTCATGTCCGTGTTTGTTGTCTGTCCCAGGAGACTGTCCAGAAGCTTTTCCAGACCAGCCAGAAGCAGGACAGTTTCAGCGAGTGGGTCAACCAGAGAGTGGCTCAGTTCTCCGCACCTATCGATGGTGAGTCTTGCTTGGGGGGACAGCCATTGAGGCTTTTGTTTTGTCTGTGTATTCTTAGACTTGTGGAAAAGATTTATGGAAGTATTGTGGTTTATTCCCAAGAACATTTGCCAGAGAGAGAAAGAGACAAAGAGGGGGAGAGAGAGAGAGAGAGATTCTATTTGTCTTTTCATAAATTTTGCCACAAATGAGTACTCGTGTAGGTATATATAGTCTTTGCTTCAAAGCGTTTTGAGTGTGCTTGTGAAATACTCCCTATAAGTGCAGTCCATTATTATTTTTAATGTTTTAATTATTCACGTTTTGTATGAAACTTAAAGGAACACTAATGTGGCTGCCTTCACGTCCTTGTCTTTCAGTGCCCACCTTTGTGTCTTTCATCGTGGAAGTGGACAACCCTGAAGATGTGAGTATCTCTGTTGGGCAGTGTGGAAGATCATAGTGCTATGGATACTTCCAAGATATCATCATCATTGCCTTTCTCACCCTGCACCAGGGAAAAGGCCACGGACAAACACTTTACCCCTTTTCTATCCTGGGCTAGCCTCAAGATGTTATTCCATGTCTTCCCACTTTTCTGTACTTCAATGTCTGTGATTCTTCTCCTGGTTCCACGGTCTTCCCCTTGATCTTTTACTCCGTGGATTCCAATCCAACACTTTCTTTGTTATGCAGCTGCCTGACTTCCTGAAAGTATGTCCAATCCATCCCCACTGCCTTCTTCCTACCTCATATCTGACTGCAATCGGTCTTGTTTTTCTTAAGACTTCCTTGTTGGTGACCCTGTCTGTCCGTCTGATCCTCAGTAACTCTTTAAGACACTTGTTCAAGAAAACCTGGATCCTCTTTATGCAAGTCTGTGATGTGTTCCATGTGTCTCATCCATACAACAGGACTGACTTCACATTTGAATTGAAAATCCTCGGCTTCAAAGTCCTATTCAAAGATATGAAAGCAGCCTGTGCTTTTCCAATGCAGGACTTTATTTTAGCACCTGTTCCTCACTCTGTCAATTATACTCTCAAGATAGCAGAAGGCTTCAGTGTCTTCTAGTGCCTTCCCTTCTATTGTGACCCGCTCCTTTCGTTGTGCATCTGTCCTTAGGACCTTTGAACTTCCGAGGGCGGATCCTCAATCCAACAGACTCCGATAAGCTGTTTAATACAGAAGTCTTTGCTTGCATCTATTCCAGGGTGTGCAACAGAAGTGCAAGTCGTTCGCAAAATCCAGATCGTCTAACTGTGATACAAAAATGTTAGATTATTCCAGGTTTGGGTGGGGGCGGTCGTAGTTATGTTGAAAAGGTAGTTTACTTTTCCTTTCAAGTTTGTCAAAATTTTTTCTGTGTTACATCTCTGTTATTTATTTCCATACTTTTCAGCCTGTTTTGAAAAATCAGTGTTGTGTTGATGCGTATTTCCTGTACTCAAACTCTTCTTTTTTTCCATAGGTGAAAGACTACATGAAAACATACTTGGGTGACACCAAAGAGTCTCGTGACTTTGCCCGACAGTTTATTGAGAAGCGCAGCAGCTTCCGCAACCAGGCTCGTCTGGAGAAGCAGCAGGAGGAGGTGAGCTGGGAAGTCTGTCGAGGAATTGTTGTGCAGTTGAGAGCAGTGCTGGTCAACCTTAGGGTAACCAGTGCCTGCTGTTGCAAACTTTTAAGAGGTTAAAATTGTTGTACGGCCCATCGACATGTTTTACCAAGTGGGACATGAAATAAAACCTGTCACTACCTGGGTGATCCCCTCTGCCCACCAAAATTGCCATATCGCCGGCTTGTGGGTGATACCCAAGACGGAATAAGACAAGACGGGACAACTCTTCTTTACGCCATGTGACAAGCGCAGGCCCCTCCCACTTTTGCTGCTGCGCGTATAACTCGCTGGACTGGCGATAGTTTACATTGGTTACAGTGCAAGGCTTCTGATCATCTCGGGTGGTATGTCTACCCAAGGCCTACTAAAATTAATATATTTTAGCCCAGAGAGAGAGAGAAAGAGAGAGAGTATTTAATGAATAAACGTAGCCTATCTAGATCTAGAAATCTAGGGATCTAGAGAGTCTAGATTTTGTTGTGCACCCAGCCAAGAGTGTGCAGTTCGGAAAGTAGATCTAGATCTAGGCCCCTAAGTGGTTGGCGAATGACCGAAGGGCGACTCTCGACAAGCGGTATGTCTGAATTGGCGGAGACACTCTAGATCTATATCATGCAACTTGATTCAAACTATCATATCAACAGTGGATAGATCTACTTGAGCTTCTGTGCTTGTTTCAATGGCTTCTTTTTCGGTGCACCTGTACAATTGTGGTCCCGTTTAATGTTTACATGACGGCCATTATTGTCATGTGGGAGTGAATCTAGATCTAAATCTTGATTAGATCTATAATTTTAATTCAGTTTAGATCTAGATCTAGATTCTAGATTCTAGATATCTATAATCTAGGCCTAAATCTAAATAAGAAACACGTAAAAATTACTACAGGGGCACTTAGGCCTTGAGTGATTTAGTGCAAACTGGACCGCTATTGTACTGGAGTGCCATTGTTTCCTAGCTTCAGTTCATGATCATTGATTCTGACATTGGGGAACAGCTCGCTGTGTAGTTAATCTAGATCTAGATCTAGTCAACATTTAGGCTGCTGGACTCTAGCAATGGCCGTATCTTTACTTTAAAAAATATCCAATCAATTGTATATTCTGTTAGACAACAGTTCCTTGCAGAGCACCACTGGCTGTTCTGTCGTTTTGAAACTGTAAGATCTAATCTACTTCTACGTTTAGTAAACTCCTAGATCTACATCATCATGTCACTGAACATGATCAGCCCACTACCGCTTTCCGTTTATAAAAATCTTAAATTTCTCAACTCACTATTCAAAATGTGAACAAAAACCAGTCAAAATAAATACCTAACAGGTTATATGAAAAAAACCCAAGGCAAAACTGCCATTATGAAATTCAAAGTTGGCAGCTATTTCAGCGAGTTGAACATTTTACTCTTTCTTCCTGTCGTTTGTTTACGCTTTAAACGCGCAGCTAGCTGGTTACCAAGGGGAGCCAGTTGGAACGAAAATGAGGCTGTTGTCCCGTCTTGTCTTATTCCGTCTTGGGTGATACTGCACAGGTGCGCCAAGCACTGGTTTAGAGGGGTGATTATGTGGAAGTAAAGTATAATCCTCTATGTCATTCACTGCGCATCGTGAGGATCACGGCCCACTGGTTCTTTTCTGTTAGACATAATGGCAACTCTGTCCTTACCCTTACAATGATTTTTGATGTTGTGCACTAGATCAGTTTGATAGAGGAGACTATACTTTAATTACTAACAATTGCGGTGAGACAAGGGCTTCCTAGATGGTAGTGTCGGTGGGTGTACAGTCGAACCTGCCTTAACGGAAACCTGTATAAAACGGAAACCTGTTTTAACGGATTCTCCCCGCTCCCCCCTTGATATATTCCTCTTTAATTACCTGTATAAAACGGAAACCTGTATAAAATGGAAACCTGTCCAACGCGGAAACGGAAAGAAAAATCCACTCTCTTCAGAGGATTTCACCTGTCTAAGATGGAAAATGCTTTGCCCGCTCAGCCCTGATTTGAAACAAAACTCACAAGTTTGGTTCCGCTGGCTCTAAACTAACGCTATGGTCATGCCGCAGAGCGAGGAAGGGGAGTAGGGGTGTAATTTGGGTTAAATGTTACCCCACCATGTGAGCCCTGAGCGATGGTCAGATGAGTGTGGGTATGAAATCTCACGACTGCCCGTGAGAGTGCTCGAGGAGCTAGCCACTACAGAAACTCTCCTGGGTCCAGATGCCAAAGGTGTGAAATTAGATTGACCAATGCCTGCCGTCCTGATCATACGACCAGCTGAGAAAGAGTTCCTTGAATCATTGTTACAATGATGGCAGTAAGAGTTGGCATTGGTTGGTGGGGCTAAGGATGGAAGCAAGGGAGATGTTCAAACGTTTCTGTTTTTAATAGGTCAAACGGTGGTCCTATGAAAGGCAAGCACTGGTGGTAATAGGATAAGTAAGACTGACGCATGTCATTATCAGACAGGATAGGGACAAGCGATCCTTGATCCCACTGGCTGGGCCTTTGAACCCCCCCCCTTAACTAAATTCCCCTGTCTAAGACAGAAAATGTATACGGCGGAATTTTTTTCTGGCTCCCTTGCGATTCCGTCTTACACAGGTTCGACTGTATATGACATGTTTAGTTTTTCACTGACACTTGTTTCCTATAGGAACTGTTTTTCTTTCATAAGGCATCTCTTCAGAATTGTTTAAATGATAAAGTGGATGTTCTTATTGGCATCTTTGATAGATTGGTCTTGTTTCCTCGCCTTTGTTTGCATGTACTAGATATGAGTTTGATCCTCCTGTTTCTCCCCCCCCCTCCATATATTCCTCTTGATCATCAGGGCTGGCAGTATCAGCAGGATTGAAGTAGCCTGCCTATGAAATAGTCTTAACTATGGTGATGCATTAACAATACTGAATCTTGTCTTCTTTTTTAATTCTCCATTACTCATTCTTTCCTATCAAACATCTGTTGGCCCCCGGGGCAGTGCTACTGACTGAAGTGTCTTTCGGCCATTCCAAAAGGGGGACATTAACCTGTTCTTATGCACAGTAGAATTATAAATTGTAAATAGGCTGATTCATCAATGTCATGCTCATAACTGTGCCTGAACTGCAACAGGGAACTGCTGCTTTTTCTTTCCTAATCCTTACTATCGTCATTTTCCTCTACTTCTTTTGTATGTTTGTCACACTTTTGTGACCCGCTCTTTCCAGGGTGCCTTGATAGTCGAAGCAGACCTTGTGTTGTTGAAGCTAGAGAGGTGAGCAGAGTAAGTCTGATTCCCTGTAAGGACTTCTCTGTTGACATCCACCCCTTGGCACTCATATGACCCTATGCAGTTGTGAGCACTGTGAAACCTCTTCTAAAACAAAACAAAACATCTGTTGTCCTTGTCTCTTCTCCATTTCTTTGTATTTGAATCTTCTGTAAAGCTCATATATATGACCTACAGTGGGATCCGCTTAAAGTGGAACTTTTTGGGACCAGAAGAAAGTGTTCACGTTATCCGAGGTTCAGTTTAACCATTTTAGTAGCTACCGGGAGTGGTAGGTCTAGGGTGGAGGTGGGGTGGGGGGGACAACACAGCAGGTGAGCCTAGACTAGAGCTCTTTCTTTCTGACTGAGATTGGTGTCGCCAACGCCAAGCTGGGATTGTCTGGAGATGCCGGAGGCAAAGAATTTTTTTTCACAGATTGGTGACAGTGATACGGTCCGTTCTTCGCTTTCACTCATTTTGGGCATTCGCTTTATCCGATTTCTATATTTTTAAAACTTAAATAGCATTTGAATCAGGACCACAGAATATGGTTCACTTTAACTGATTGTTCAAATAAATTGTGTTCACTTGAGGCAGACTCCACTGTACTATCAAAACCAAATTTGCCTGCTCTTTCTTCAAATATTTATCTCTCACCACCCACAGGACAGCATCTGGGGCCCAGCGCCAGCTGTTAACCCGTATAACCCAGGCCGTGGAGGGGGAAGCAACTCTGGCAACGCCCCCTCCAATATGGATGGAGGTGAGGGGGGCTCGGGAAAGTCCAAGAACCGCAAGAAGAAGCAGAAGATGCAAAAACTGGACGGCAGCGTGCTGGGCTTCACCGTGCACTCGGACTCCAACCGCAAGAATGCAGCGGGGGAGCTGGAGAGTGTTCAGTAAAAAAAAAATATAGAAGGAAGTGGAGAGGATACGAATTGCCTCTCTGTCACTGACATACCCCCCACCCACCCAGTCCCCCTTTAGTCTTGTCCCCATCCCTGGTTTTAACCATTGAATCTGCTATGTTGAGCCTATTTTAACCTTCCAAAGTCGTCTAATAAGCCAGAGAGCTATTATTACACATTTTTTTCCCTTAGACTGGGTCATTCTTTTAGCAGCAAGTTTTAAAATGAGTTTCTAGGAATGACTCTGCTGATTATACCAAAGCTGTTTTGATAATGACTACACATGTTGGTGTTCGTATGTACATCCACCTTCTAATTGAATGGAGCTCTCCTTCAGGCCCCCTGACACCCCCCCATTATTTTGTTTGTTTGTGCCCCAGCCCCCCACTCTCCTACCCGCCTGGTTACTTCTAGTGATACCTACTTTTTCTATGCATTTCTATCATCTCTTACCTGATGTTGATACTTCCATTACAAACATTTCAGAATCAAGGATGATTGAGAATACTGGGGATTTTCTTTTGACACTCATGTTCAGTGTACTTCAAAGTCAAAGTGGAATGAAGAAAAAATTGTGGTCACTGGTGAAATTTGAGAAACTGAAAACAAGCATTTTCATCTCTTTATTTATCTGTATAATTATTTATACATTCTTTCAAACATTTAGTTGTTTAGTCATCGGTTTGATGAAAAGCACTGTTGGAGAAGCTGTTGTTCTGTTTGAGAGCGTGCGTGTGTGTGTGTGTGTGTGCATTTGAGCGTTTTTTGCTTGTTGTGGAGAAGATGTGATTAGTTTTTCTGAACACAAACCACAGTACCAGGCAATTGTTAGTAGCGATTCTGTATATATATTATATATATATATATATATACATATATAGATAGAATGAAGACTTCCTAGCCTTTTCTACAATGATTACACATGCTTTGTTTGCACAATGGGTGCTTTGAATGGATAGGCTCTTGAAAATAGTCCCCCCTTCACCCCCCCAAAAATGTTGGTCATGGCAGTATTGATATCAGGTATGCAACACCACTCATCTGTTCCCCTATGTTGGGTTTTTCATTCCACCTTCCAAGACTCCCTCCGTTCTGCGTGTCTTCTATCTCTGCATTTGTCTGTATGTTCCCCCTCCCCCAACAAACTGGGTCACACTCGGCTCATTTTGATTTTCTTTTTATTTGGTTTTTAGATGATGTAATGGTAACTTCAGTTGACTTTGACTTTTTTTCCTGATTGTTGTTTTATTCACTGTCGTTTGAGCCTTGTTTGGAAGGTTACACAGTATCAGGGATGCGTTTCATTTAAAGTGCTGTCATATTATTGCTTGTTTTGCTCTTTAATTGTCTTTTACAGACCAAATCTGCTTCAAGATACTTTCCTGAGCTAATGGTTTTGACAAGTGCAGTGGAACTACGAATTCAACTCTTCATGTTTTGCCTTTTTTTGTTTGTTGCCTGGTTGAAAATCAAATGGAATTTGCTTTACTATACCGTGAACAGAGGGAAGTTTATTTCAGCCACGTTCAGCCATGGGACCTCAGGTTAGGAATGATGTACAGCTGTAACTTTTGGTGATTGGTGAAGCTGTCCTTTAAGAGAAAAAAGAAAAATATCTTCTAGTACAGTCAGATGTTTCAGACGCCTCTGTGGCACTTGATATTTTTAGTGATATGAAATGTGTCTCCCCCCCCCCCTTTTGTCTGTGCCCCTGTAGGTTCTGTCCATCTACTTTAGTTTTTGCCCTCCATGGAACGACCATCACAGTGTTAATGCGCTTATGTTTTCTCCAACAAATAAGTCTCTGTTGTGCACACAGACAGGGCAGGTGGGCTCTGTGGTGTGGTCTGCTCCTTGTACTTGTCTTTAGTGTAACAACTGTTGTTTGTATCTCGTCCCAGCAAAAACGTCTGTCTCTGTGGTGAGAACATGTGTTGGCCAGTGGGTGTATCGGCTGTCTGCTTGATCGCCCCCTTGTTGTACAGTAGTTGGAACATTTTTGCACATAGTCTTTCAGAATATAAACTTCTTTGAACCTCTTTCTTTCTGTTAAAATATATATATATATATATATATATATTATTGGCCACTTCTTCCTTTTAAAAAATTCTTTAAAAAAAATATTTTTAATTGATGCTGGTCTGTTTTGGTTTATGTCCCCTTCCAAAGTAGGTAAACAACTGATCACTCTTTTCTCCTTTTGTGGGTGGTTAGTGGTTGCTTAGGTGTGGTTTTCTCCTTTTTTTTCTCTCAAACAGCATCTCCTTATTTCTCCTTATTTGTGTTTGTTACTCTCTTGTAGCACCTCTAAATCTTTGGCACTTTCATGACATTGTTGTGTTGCAAATGCTGTAAAAAAAACAAACTCTTACTAAAACAAAAACTTCTCTTTTTGTCTTTGGGGTTTTTTTTCTGACGGCCTAGCTAAGCTAGGTCTTTCTTCTGACGCAGCAGTGATATTGTACATAGAGTGATGTGCTTGTTGTTGATGCTAGCCTTGTTTGAGGGAGGAAATCTTGTCTTGTCACATCGGCTCATGTTGTTGTTCTCCTTGGAAGTCTGTCAGGTAGGTCCATATGTTTCAGTCAGTGGAGAGCTCCTGAGGATGATGTTGTTTTTGCGGGAGGTTTCTTTCTGCTATCCTCGTTTGTGTGTGTGTTTGTGTGTGTCCTCCAGTAGTCAAAAGTTTTGCTTCTCTCCCTGAAAATGTAGCTCAGTTTATCCCCAGGAGGAAATATTCTCTGGCAATTTTTTTGCCGGTGTTGAAAAGCTATTTGTCATCTTCCTCCCCTGGGTTGTTCCCTGTGGTCTTTTTCTTCTTGTCTTCAGTGTTACTATTTTATAGTCCTAATATCTTTCCTGGTCAAACTAGGACTTAATCGCCTACACCTGTCAGTTTGGTAGCATTTGGGTGCTCAATCAGGTGCTTGCACTGTTTACATCCTGGGAAGTTGAAAACATTTTTTTGGATGTTCTAGGGTCTACAGGGGTATAGAGCATGCTGTAGAGCATGGATATGTACTGTATAAATGCAAACATTGGAATTATTATTACTATTACACTAGCAGAAACTATGACTTATGAGCCTCTCCATTTTATCAGGTTGTTATTCTTTACTCTCTTTTGTTTTTTAATCTCTACATCTTGGTTTTTCCCAGCGCCAAGTGACTGTTTTTGTAACTCTGTGCTCTTACCTTGTGCTAAACAAGCCTCTCCATTTGACAGCCTCCGCAGAGTGTTTTTCAAGGAGTACTCTTTGCTGGGGAAATTTGATAGTTCTTTTTAGATGGTGCCTTTATGTGCTTTCTGGTGTTTTTGTAGTGTCTGGCAGTAATATTTTGATGTTGATGATTTTTGGCTTCTGCTGATTTGATTACTGCTAGAGGGGGACACAATGATGTGGTTTTGTGTTTGTTTTGGTTGGTTTTGACAGCTCATTTCAAGAAACTCTCATGTTGCAAAATCCTTTGATTATGAGTCGGAGCAGTCCCTTTGAACCCTTTAACCCCTGCTGTGATGTGAAATGTAAGGTCTTCCGAAGTTTGGGTTAGCATACCAATTTTTGCCGATGACACAATGGCTTTAGCATAGGAAGCTTGATATTGCTTGTTAACGGCAGGGCTTCTGTTAATAAAGGTAGATTAAAAAGAAAATTCCCCCCTTGAGCCCCCAGCTCATACTCTTTCCTCCCATGTGCCTAATTTTGTGTTCATAATTGGTCCTTGGTTTGGCCTTTGTCATGTTTTTATATTATTTTATCATGTTGCAGGTGGCTGGAGGGTGCCAGTAATAAGATCTTCTTTTCCATTCTTTTGTGGTTTTTGTGTGTCTTTACTTTTAACCTGCAGTAAGTGACGTAATTGTATTTCTCTCTACCGCCCCCTGAAATGACTGTGACTGAGTAGCACAAATGTTTGGCTGATGAAAAGGTCCTGACAGATGAAAATGGACATAATGGTGGTTCCAGAATGAGCCAGCTATTCTTGCTGTGCTGTTTCTTTTAATTCTCAACTGTCTAGTAGTTTTTGAGAACTGGGAGAGTTTGTGACACAAGGTATGAAAATGCACAATGGAGGAAATCAATGTCAAAGTAATTTAGAGTTCATCGCGTCATAGGCTGCAAAAGGAATTACTTTCAAAATGTTATTAAGTCTTATTATGTTTCATGCTTTTGAGATAATTTGAAAAGTTCAAGCATTCAATTTTGATAACGAGCATGTTGGACCTGAGATGAGTGTTTCCCTACATATTGAGCTCTGACATTTTCCATAGACAGAAGGATCTGTTTTGCAGGCACACACACAAAGAGATACAAGCCTGTGCTACAGATTTTATAGTGCTTGTCCACCTGTCTTCCTTACTGGTTTTCTCATAATTTTGCGTTCTCTATTCCTGTGTATAGGACGCTCTGTCTGCAATTCTAGTGTATATATTATATATATATATATTATATATTTATATATAAATATATATTTCTTTCTTGAGACGTTCATATCTGATGAGTAGGAGTTGACTCTTTCTTTTGATCCATACCCCCCCACCCACCACCACACTTTTTGTTCCTTTTGTTTTTACTTTTTTCTGACCAGCGCGTTGCTTTTGCTTCAGCAGCAAGTGGTTAAAACAACAATGAAGTCTCAGGTTTTTATCAATTAATGCAAAGATACGGAAGTGAGTGGTTGGAGAGCGCCACTGGCAGGTCCCACTTCTTTTCTTTCCCTCTATTGTTCCTGTCTGTCCGTCTTGCTTTCCCCCCTTCACTAAATGACTGTAAAAGTGTTGATGTATTTCCCTTTTACCTTATCTCAAAGCTTATCCTGTATTTGTATCCTTGTCTCTGAACCTCCATTGTTTGGGGAAATTATGAGGCTCTTCCCTCCTTCTGTCCCTCTGTTCTAGTCTAGTAGAGGTTCATGTTCATGTATTGTTCCTGTCTTTGAAAAATAGATAGCCCTAGTAGTGTTGAATGAGGCATAAGCTCAAGCTCTAAAGTTATCTGTTTGGTTTTACTTGTGTTTATTTTTGCCCTTGTAGTGGCTGAAGTGTTGGGTGTTGTGCCCTGGACTCATTTTATTTTGTTCCTGGGGGCGGGGGCAGCGGCGGCCGGATGGTAGGAGTGTTGAAGTATACTGAAATAGTTGTGAGATCAATGTTCAATCAGTTTGGTGAGCACTACATCGTTGTTTCTGTACTTGTGAAGATTGTAGGGTGGGTATTTAGTCATTGGTCTTTTTGTTTTTTTAGAAGTCTTTTAGTCAGTGTGGTGAGGGCCAAGGTTTTGAGAGTGTGTCAAAGATGCATATACTGGGAGGGAGGGACTGTCAGGAGGCCGTCAATACTTCTTTACTGTCTTGTTATTTCTTTATGTCTTTATTTGCTCTCTCTCCCCTCCACCCAAACATGAAGAAACATGAAGTGCTCATATCAGTGTGTGTGGTGGTGTTGTGTTTAGTGGCTTGGCCTTGTACTGGAATGTAGACTCCCACCCATTAGTGTTGAACCTATTATTTTTTAAATGACCAATAACACCCTCTCAGCCATGGTGTTAGATAGGTTGGGAGGTTGCCACCGGTTTGTGGCCTGTTCTCTCTACTTCTTGTCTTTTTACTGGTGCACACTTTTGTCTGAATCATTTTTGATTATAATGGAATGTGGCTGTTGTAGTGCTGAGTTGCTGTCCACTGCAACCCAAATAGTCATTCTGTTTCATAACCCTTTTTTGTGTTCTCGGTTGGTGTTCTGGTGTGGTCTGCTCCTGCTACTTCTTCCCCATGTTGCTGATCTATTCAAGGTACTTAAACGTCCTGTTTGTAGACAGTGCCGAAAAGCCGTCAGGGAAGGGTATTGTCAAAATATGTCAGAAGTTTAATTAAAAAATGTTTTTATTATTATGAATCCCGAGTGATAAAGTCGTACTCAAAAACCCGAAAGTTTTGTTGCTCTTACTTTGTTGTCATTAAGATCAAATACAAAGTGTTTCTCTTCTTATAATAACAAAATTCAAGATTTCAAAAAATCCAGATTTTTAGGTTCTCACACCTTTACTTGAAGCTGAACCTCCAGCCCAGCATACTTTTTTTTTTTTTTTTTTTAAATCTAAATAGTCACAAATAGGCTGGTGAGCTGTTGATGCTGTTCTCTAACTTCCCGACTTTTTGCCAGAGCATCTTGTGTCATGCTCGGCCCAGCAGGCCCTGTTGCAGAAGTTCTGGGTTATACACACATGATTGTTTGAAGCATATACATATATATTTGGGTGTGCTTGCTTGTGTGGTTTGGGGTGCTTGTGTGTGTGTGTCTTTGTGTGCATGTGTGTGCGAGTCTGTTAAATGTGGATTGTGGATGGGTGTAAGTGTTTTAACCTGTTGCTGGTGGTATGTTTTACCTGTGTACAAACTGCTGTGTAGTGTGTGTTTGTGTGCATATGTGTGTGTGTGCGTGTGCGCATGTGTGTTTGTGTGTGCGTGTGTGTGTGTGCGTGCGTGTGTGCATGCACATGTGAGCACGTGAGTGTCTGTGTGTGTAGTGTGTAGAAAGTATATTTAGCTGCATTCTCCTTGGTGAAAGTGTTGCACTTGAAGTCTGTCTATAGTTGACTGTGCACATGATGAGTGCTGTAGTATTTTATCTGTGAGCCTTGCCTGTTGTGGAAGGTTTCTGATTGTGATAACTTGCGAAGTAGAGAGGGAGTGAGTTGATGGGTGGCAAAGAATGAAAGGAAGAGAGAAAGAGAGAGATGGCCGAGTCCTTGAGAGATAAATAAACTGAGTGAGAAGTGGACTCTTTGCCTCTACTTTGACTTTGTTGTTCTGTTATTCTTTGTATTTAAATTTATGTTGAATTTCTGATTACAGCTCGGTCGCCTTCGTCTGTTCACTTAAAAAAAAAAATTAATGCATTTATTGATTAACTTACTTTGGGTAGAAAATTGCATGACACTTCTGCAGTCAAGGGACCATACAAAAATATTTTTAAAAAAAAATCTTTATCC